TGCTGGTATACAGCTCCCTACCTCAAAAAATGGCCTGGAACAGAAGGGGTTAACAAGGAATCTAACAAATATTGCATATACTCTTCTATTGGGGTGACGTCTTGCAGCAGAAGGCACACTAAGTAAAACAAAAACATAAATAGAATACTTAGAAAAGGATCATGAGCTTCACCTAAGGAAGGCTCAATTAGATATCAACTTACGTTGTTGGCTCACAGCTTCACTGCAGAATGTGAAAAATATTTATTATAGATAATAATTTGCCTATTCAGCTTTAGTAATCCAATATGAATAAATATATGTATGTGGAAGCTAATGTCTTATGATATTTTATTTTCTTAATCCTTTGTTTTGTATTTTTTTTACCTAAAGATCTAACATTAGTTCAAATATTTTTACACCACTGTTTCAAGATTTTCTGAAAACTGTCACCTCTTAATACTCTTTACATCATCAGCTGTCTAGATGTCTTACATCTTTTAAATAGTTAATTCTTAAAAATAAATCGCTCAAAAATGTTAAACATCTTTATCACGTACCTAAATCAACACACAATTGATCCGAATGTTCTAAATACGTTTATAAACTGTAAACGTCTACGTTAAATGTAAAATCATTAGTTGATATCAGTTCATTGTTTTAATGCCATTAAACAGGTATACTTTTTAGTAGTTCATGCGATATATGTTCACACGATAGTGTTCGTTTAAATATGTGAGTATTTGTTGATATTTTGATCATGTAAAAATAATATTAGCTTAATACCACTTTTTTACAATATTTATATTATTCAAGGGGTAATCAATTTGACATTATATAATTTTTTTAATTTATAAACATTGTCGCATCAACCTCTGAGGTTATTAGCGAATTTTTATTAAACTGAGTTAATCGCGTTTGAAAATTTTCGCAAAGATTTCGCTCTAAGAAATATCGTTGAGTGATCTATTTTTGGCATGCGTTTACATTTTATAGTCTCTAATGAAATAGGTTGAGGAGGGGAGAACTGTTTGTCTCAAGTTGGTCATTCAGAATTATATCTGTGTTTTTTAATTTGTTGATTTCCATAGATTCTAACAAAGATAGCTTAAGTCCTTTATTTTGAATGTGAAGAATTTTAAATTCGTCATTAAAAGAATGATTGTGATCTAGAAGGTGAAGTGCGTATGTGGAATCTGTTTTTCTATGATTGAAAGCCCTTTTATGTTTTGCTATTCGTTTATTAAAGTTTCTACCAGTTTAACCGATGTAAGTTTTTGGGCAGTCGCCACATTTAAGTTTGTACACACCACTGTGTAAGTGTTTTTTATTTTGGCTCTTGTTGTTTTTGACCATATATTTTCCTAGGTTGTTATTTGTTCGGAAAGCTGGTGTTATTTCTTTCTTTTTTTGTATTTAGCTATTTTTGTTGATATTTTGCCTGTATATGTACTCGAGCAGAAGGTACTGTGTTTTTTTCTCTAGTGGTGGAAATACTAATTTCAGGGCTTTCGTGCGTAGTTTTTGATTTAACATTTTATTAATTGTTTGTTCGTTGTATCCGTTGTTTACTATTTGCTTGATAATATTTAATTTTGTCTCAAAGTTGTATTTTGACATCGGAATTTCTGTTAATCTATGTAACATACTATGATAGACTACCCGTTTATGTTGTGTTAGATGGGATGATGAATTGTGTGTAGTTTCAGTATGGGTAGAGGTTTATGAAATATGGAGAAGTCATGTTTGTTTTGAAGTCTGCTAATTTTTAAATCTAAAAATTTATGGATTGATTTTGTTCTGTTTCTATTGTAAATTCAATATGACTATGAAGTTAATTAATATACGATAAAAAATGATCGAGTTGCCTGTTAGTTCCTGCGAAATATACCAGTACGTCGTCTACGTATCTCCACCAATATAAAAACTGTTTAAATACGGGATGTTTTAAAATCTTTGTCTCTATTAGATGATCCATAAAAATATCTGATAGCAATGGGCTTAGAGGATTGCCCATTATAAGGCCTGCACTGTTATTTGTATATATTTGATTATTAAATTCAAAGTAGTCCTGGTTTATGCAAACTTCAAGAAGATGTAAAATTTCAGATGTAATTATTGGATTTGTACTATTTTTGTCTAAAAGGTTTTTTACTAGAATAAAAGTTTCGGTAGGAGGGATACTAGGAAAAATATTTTTTACGTCAAATGAAATTAATCTGGAGTTGTTAGATAATTGAATATGTTGTATTTTATTAACTAATTTATTGTATTTTTTATGGTAAATTTAGGGGAAAATTTAGTGTATTCTAAAATAATGTCTAACAGTTTTTTTGAAAGCTTATATGACGGAGCTGTATAAAGAGAAACTACAGGTCTTATTGGGTGATCCGGTTTGTGTAGTTTAATGAAAGAGTATAATTTAGGAGGCTGCGGGTTCATGATATTGAGGTATTTCTGTTCTATTGGATTTATCATTGATTTTGAATCTTATAATGCTAGCTTAATTTGTTTTTGATATTTTTCTGTCGGATCTTTGTGTAACGTTTTACTATTTTGATTATTTAAGAATTCTATTGTTTTGTTATTATATTCTATTTTATCTATAGCAATAGCAGTGGTACCTTTGTCTGCTTTTGTAAACACTATGTTGTTTTATATTGATTTATTTTTAATTAAAATGACTGTTTTATTCTCTTTGTAATTGTTTAACCTTTTTGTCGTTTTTGTTGTAGCTACTTAATTTCTTTACACCTTGTTTTACACAAATGTTATTATGCAAGTCCGATTTTATTTCGTATTTTATCTTATGTTTTATCAATCCTGTTTTATCTTTTGTCCCTACATATTTTTTTGCAGGCTCCATCAGCCTAATAAGGTTTTTACTTAGATCAAGTGCTGGTCTGCCTATGCTTTTACTGATTTAATACAATTTCCGCGTCTTTCATTTCTTATCACATATGATTTCTTACCATTTTGTTATTGTTATCTTTCATATCAGACATTTCTAGCTATATAGTCCTTGAATTTGTAGTTTGTATCATCAATCAATCTGTGTCCTCTTTCATTTCTGGTCCTAATTCTTATTGTAATCTACAAAAGCCTGGTACAGTAGTTTGTCTCATTCATTTCACTTTTATATTTTATATATACTTTTACATTTATATGTACCTCCTTTATTAGTCCATCGTTTTCAGGAGGTTTTCCAAGATATACCATTATATCCTTATCTATTTTCAAGTGTAGATATCCTCTCTATAAATATTTATCAGCAATTACCGTATATTTCGATGTTTATATCCATTTAACATAATTCCAAAGTAGGTAATACTATACTCGTATACCAATTTTCCTAATTTGCGACCATTGAGTTTTTTATTATATTTGCATGGAAATTCATATTGGCTGTCACGCAAAGTGAAACTCATTCCAGGAAGTTCATATAAGCACTTTTGTTATTATTGTTTTAATTATTAATCTGGCGAAAGATCTGTTACATTCAACGCAAGTGATCGTGCTTATTTTAAATCGCAGTGTGCTTTAACTGCTAAAACAGCCTTAAGGATTTTTCTTTTCATAGAGATTTTCTTTTCCCAAGTCAATTCTTTTTCTCAGATCAGAGACTATCTCTCCGAGATAGTCAACTCAGTATCGGAAAATTTTGGTTTCAAAAGTTTTTCAAAATTTTCCAACTCACTGGTAAAATAATAGTTTTGGAATGATGATATTTATATGAATTTGCCATTGTTAACTTTTTTTTATTACAATCACTTTTTTCAAGCCAACTTGAAGCTCTTTCATATTAAACAATCTCCAATCAGAGCCTATCTTTTTAACAACTCCAATTTGTTTGTCAATTTCTTCATATTTCTCTCTAGAGAGAATTGTGGCTTTTTTCTTAGAAGCTTTTCTACTCTTCCAAATACCTTGTCTTCTGGCAAATACGAATGGCCCCTGACTGGAGATGCCTGGAGCTTTCAATCTAAGCCAGAAGTACAGCGAATGAATAATATGGGAGTTTTTGTTTTGTCCACCGCATCCGTTGCAAAAGAGGCGAAGCGTCATAATATTATCGCACTCGAAAGAATCCTAATAATTTACAAGTGCAGAACCTATTTCAATTGATCCCCTACCTGCCTGATCTTCAGTCCAAGTTTTTTTAGGTTCTTTGTGACTATTTAATGTTTTGTTTCGGATTTAACAAAAATGTTTTTTTCCGCAAATCGCAAGGAAATTTTGACATTCCTGTCAAAATTTCTTGAAGAAAAAGTCAGGACTTCCTTACTGTAAGGAAATGTCATTTCCTTACTGTAAGGAAATGATATTTCCGTACAGTTGTTAGTGTTCTACATAAATGATAGAAAAGTTTGACAATTCAACCTCAATACGTTTCCATAGTAACCCAAGTAATTTTATTAGGAATTTCAAAGCACCATTTATTTGGGAATAAAATTATCGCGTTTTTTTTTAAATCAATCAATATCTGTCGAATTTTAAACGATTTGCGGAAAAATAGTATGTTTACCTCGTAGGAAAAGCCACATTCCTGGTGTGTTGCTAAGTCTCGGCTTGCGCCTCGACTTAGCAATCTTCACAGTCGTCCAGGAATGTTAAGCTTTTCCTACCCGGTAAACAATGTACTATTTTTTTCGTAATATAGTTATGCTAGAAAAGAAAAATAGTGAAATTTAAAAATCAATTCTTGGTGCCAAAATTTGTCAAATAATTCATATATAAATTACCGGTTGTATGAGATTTATGTGGGAACATTTTTTTCGTCTTATAAATCTCGTCTTGTAATTTTTTCCGTCTCTATTTTTAGACCACCATCAAATAGTTAATTCAAACGTGACAAATCTATCCGGCTAAATTCATAAATTATTTAAATTAATGACGAGAAGTAGTCTATGATCTATCAATTTTCAATTAGCATTCATTCATCAATTCCATTACAATAAATTCGTGATTTAATAGATGTTGATGTAGTAATAGCTATTTACTTTCTTACAGATTAATCAACAATGGCTGTTGTTGCAGATATGATACGGGATGTCAATAATTTTTTAAATAAATATCAAGGTGAGTGTATGATTTTTTATTATATTGATTTTTGTGATTTCTGTTTTTAAAAGATCTCTGGATTTAATCAACTCTCTTCCTTACATTGAAAACTGTGACATACATTAACTATACGGTGCATGTATAAGATTTTTTTTATATTCGCATATCATTAGTCTCCCAGGTTTATTATTAAAGTTCTGCAAAAAAATTCGTAAAATTCATATTAATTTTACTAAATTTTTATTGAAATTAAACATAATAATAACCACATATACCGGGTGTACTTTAAATAATATGACGTATTCTGGTTTACTTAACTGTACTACTACATAACTTTACCATGGTTCTGATTAACATTCGTTCTATAAGATATAAAACAGATGAATAATTTTTGTTTCTAGAGGATTTCCCCCGATAGTTGCAGTTACCGAACACTGGCTTGAAGTTAACGAATCTTTTTTGTAGAAAAATATACCACAATTGCTAAGTATGATCGTCCAAGCTCAGTTCATGGTGGTACCCTAATTCTTTTTACAAATAATGATTTCTCTCCTATAACAAAATATGACTTTCTGTTGAATGAATCCTTTTTTGAGTATATATATATATATATATATATATATATATATATATATATATATATAGGAAGAATGATCACAGCTGTCTAATTATTAATTAGTATAATGGTAAGGTTAATTGGGTTAGCAGCTGAATAATGAAAGCCAAAGTGTGCTCTTTTCAACGACTTCGTTATATTTCGTTAAATTTCTTTAACATCTTCAGACGAATGTTGTTGAGGTTGCAGGCAACAGTGGTATTTGAATACCACTGTTGCCTGCAACCTCACACAACATTCGTCTGAAGATGTTAAAGAAATTTAACGAAATATAACGAAGTCGTTGAAAAGAGCACACTTTGGCTTTCATTATTCAGCTGCTAACCCAATTAACCTTACCATTATACTATATATATATATATATATATATATATATATATATAATATATATATAATATATATATATATATATATATATATATATATATTCGTATGAACTTTACACATTGCAGTTTTTACATAAAGAAAAGGAAGAAAAAAGTGACAATAACAATAATAAATAAGTAAGTAAATAAGTAAACACTGACACAGAACATATAAAATTAAAATTTTTAAAATTAAAGTCGAAGGTTACATCCTCGAAGCCAATTTGTCGCCTTGGGAGTAAGTTGGTGGATTTCTTGAAGGCTGCCAAAGAACTTGGTGGCTGGACACTCGAAGACGATGTGGTTAATTGTTTGTTCAGCGGCGCTGCATTTGTCACATTCCGGGCTGGCATTTATACCCCATTGATTCAGCGATTTGTTACAAATTCCATGACCAACTCGTATTCTATTTAGGTTGCACCATTCACGAAGGGAAAGAGAAAAGCCGTCTGGTTTGATTGTGGGGTTTTCTATCAGATTGGAATTTCTGATGTCTGGATTCCATTCGCCCATCCAGTGCTCTTCGGTAGTGAAAACAGCCAATTTTGTAGCAGTTCTAGTAGGTGGATGTCTGGATTTCAGTCTTAACTGCCTTTGGTGTAGTTCAGCGATGTCTGTGTTTATCGGTAGTTCTGGGTTTTGTTGGCATTTTTGAACTAGAGTGTTGAGTGCGGCTAGTCGTCTTGTTGCTGGTGGAGCGATGTTGCTTAAAACTGGAAGCCACTGGGTTGGTGTGGGCTTTATAGTTCCCGTTATGTGCCTCATTGTTTGATTTAACTGGGTATCTATGACTTTTGTGTGATGACTGTTTAGCCAGACAGGAGCGCAATATTCTGCAGTAGGATATACTAAGGACAGCGCGCTCGTTCTTATTACCTCTGCATTCGACCCCCATGATGTATTTGCTAACTTATGGATAATATTATTGCGGGTCTTAATTTTTGCTGAAGTGTTTTCCAAATGCTTTTTGAATGTTAGGGTACGATCTAGAGTTACGCTGAGGTATTTTGGGTTAGCACTGTGCTTTAGCCTGGTTCCATCGCATTCTATGTTTAGTCTGTAATTTGCCTTGTTGTTGTTTAGGTGGAAAGCTGTTACTTCAGTTTTCGATGGGTTTGGTTGTAGGCCCCATTTCTTAAAGTATCTGTTAACAGTGTTTAGATCTGCTTCTATGGTGGATTCGGCGATGTTTATGTCTTCTTCTTGGGCACCCAAAGCCATGTCATCGGCATAAATAAATTTGCGCGAGGAGGTAGTTGGTACATCTGACGTATAAATATTAAAAAGTAGAGGAGACATAACTGACCCTTGTGGCAAGCCGTTTTGCAGGTTTCTGAAGTTACTATTTTTCCCATTTAGGTGTACTTGGAAAAGTCTGTCACTTAGCATTTGGTTTAACAACCTGTTGAACGCACGGCACGGTAACATCTGGTATACTTTATATAAAAGGCCCTCTTTCCACACTGTGTCGTAGGCGCAGGTCAAGTCTATGAATGCTGCTACTGTTTTCAGTTTCTTTTGGAATCCGTTCTCAATAAATGTTGTTAAGGAGAGGACTTGGTCGCCACAGCTTCTTCCCGGCATGAATCCAGCTTGTTCTTTAGGAATATTTGACTTTGTAAAGTAAAATAGTCTCGTTTGGATTATCCTCTCGAAAATCTTGTAGCAGACGCTTAAAAGAGCGATTGGTCTGTAGCTCTCAGGTAATGCAGGGTCTTTCCCAGGTTTAGATATTGCGATGATCTTACTTTTTTTGAAGGATTTTGGAAACTTCTGCTTAGTTAGTATTTGATTGTAGAATTCAAGAAGCCACTTTCTGGCATTCGGACCAATGTGTTTTATAAATTCAGGATAAATGTTGTCAACTCCTGCGGCTTTACGACATTTCATTAATTTTAGAGCTTCCTCAAGTTCTTCTGGTTCAATGAGCTTCATTATCGGTAGGCTTTGTTGTTGAGCAAGTTTGGCTTCTTTTAACTGAGATCGGACTTCTCTTTTATGATCTTTTTCTATTACTGGTTTTGAAAGGTTGGCTATGCGTTTGCCTATGTCTTCCGGTTTTGGGACTGTAGAGTTTGCTGTAGGGCTGTTTGGGCCAGAGTCTAGCTTCCTTAGAAGGTTCCATGCTGTGCGGCTGCTGTGTGTGAAATTGAGATTTTTTAAAGTTTCTCTCCACCTTGTGGTTCTTGCGGAGTTAAGGGTTTCTAAGAGTTGTTCACCAACTTCAGGATCTCCAGATTTCTCATACTGATCAAGCAGTTCTTTACATTCGTCGTTCCAACATGGGATGTAGGATTTGGTAACTCCACGTGGAATGTGCTTTTTTGCACATCTAATCACTAGTGATGCGAATCTTTCATAATTTTGAACCTCGGGTTTGATATGTCTGATGTCACTTTCAAGTTGAAATTTAAACTCTTCCCATCTTGCCTTCACCTGGTCTCCACCCACTCTACTCACACTAAAAACGTCGATGTTGCGTTAAATGAAACGTTTCGTAAAATATCTGGTTGCCTGAAACCGACACCTATCTAAGAGGTCTACTCTATAGTTGGAATTGCTCCATCTGCTATCAGAAGACAGGTTACGTCAGAGATAGAATGAAAGAAGCAGGAGACGGATCGAAGGCACTACTTGTATGACCACCAAGTTCAGCCAAGTAGATTAAGATCTCGGAAAAGCTTTCTGAAAAAGTCACGATCCCTTCCCGAAGAGCCAAAGATGCGCCGAATACACCTATGGCAAGCGTCAAGTACAACACATTTTGCTCCCTCAGAGGAAATGGCTGCTGGACACAATTTGTCATATCCCACACGGAAGGCGCGAAACAGACTAAGAACTGGCTTTTCACGTTGTGCTAGTAACCTGAAGAAGTGGGGATACCAGGGAACGACACCTGCGACTGTGGCGCGGTTCAGAATAGTCGCAATATACTATCATGCACAGAGATGAGAGAGACCTGCACAGAAGAAGACCTATTCTTAGCGAATGACGGCCATTTATGTGGCCAACTATTGGAAATACATACAAATTTTAAAGCTGTTGGTGTTCCGGACACGTAAAGTAAGTAAGTATGACCAATTACGAGACACTGAACATTATCTATCTGAGTACTCGATGTAGTCCACTTAAAATAAAACCAAGTTCTTACCGCCAGGTGAAAACCAGCACTTCTCTATGTGCATTTCTCATCAGATCTTATACTACTTATATTACTTACAATCAATAATAAAAAAAATTGTTTTTTATTTCTTGCACTGTTGTACTCATATTGTAATGAGATCTACGTATGTCATAATTATTTAATTATTCTGACCTCGATAATACTTTATTGGATTTTAATTGAAAATTTGGTAATCTCCTCGCATATTTATAATTTAGTGCCCGCAGAACGATTAGATTTATCATTTATGAAACCAAAAATATTTGTAAATCATAAAAATTAGCACAAATTAACTTGCCTCACCTTGAACTCGCAACTGGTTATTACTTTGACCTCTTGGGACTAATTTTTTTATTCGTTTCTTATTAATAATTCCCCCTTATTTTTGAGCCTTATGTAATCGAATGCGAATGGCACAGGTGTAATATCTGCTTCTCCCACGTTGAATGAATCAGATGGTTAAGCGGTTAGATTTGCTTGATTTTTTAATAAAGGTGGATATACACGTCCGACCATTTGACTTTCGAATGACAAATTAATTCTCGTTCGTCTGTTATTCTTGAATTCTTGTCGTTATATCTATAGTTTTTATTTTACTTTATTGTATTCAAAAAGAAACCCAATTCCCAATTATTAAATAATGAAACTATAGCAATATAATCGAATAGTTTTTTTATAAATCTACATTAACTTATATACATTAACAAAAACTACAGTTAAACAATAACAATGCTTAATTCTAATATCTGATTAGTGATTAAAATAAGTAAGAGTGAACATATATTTTAGATTTTAAAAGTTAGTTGCATAATAATTTGACTTAATAAAGTCTAATTTAATAATGTTTTGATTAATGTAATATTAATTTAGTTCT